AGCTGGTTTATGATCTTACTTACCACAAGTCTCCCATAGCTCAGTGTTTAGAGTGTCCAAGGTCATGGATTTGTCTCCTTTTGGGAGCTTGGAAAATTCTGTTATGGGTCCTCTTCTCCATTTATTTCTCTAAAATGATCTTTTGTTTGTAGTATACAATCATTCCTTCACGTCGTTCCACTGCCGAAGCTGTTCAGATTCTTTTCTCGCACTTACTTGGTGATGCTGGCAGTCCATGGCTAGTTGGTGAAGTAAGAGTCAACCATTGTTCCTGTTTCCTTTACTGCGTAGTTTTAACACAAAAATTCTTGAACATCATTAAATGGCAAAAATTCAGTAATCATTCAAGGGGCAGGTAAAAGGCAATTGAAACTCATTGATGAGCTTGGTAAAAGAGCATCAGAGATGTTGGTGCCAGACAAGACACAAGCACTGGGCACAACATGCATATATCCGTTGCACACTTGAGAGTGGCAACCACCAGGCACTGTTACACTGAAAGATCAGTAGAGATACCTACCAACCCACATGCTTACCACAACTAACAGTAAGAAGGGGGTGAGGCAGCAAAGAACACAAAAATTATATAAGCCCTACAAAGCCCCATATACCTCATGGCACATGACCGCTCTGAAATGCCGCACACCAGCATTGGCTCAAGTCTAATGCAGTTTACTCAACAGTAACTACCAGCATTATGATTATCATAACAAAGAACCAGTGTCATAATTCCAGAAGTTCCAGTTAAGGTGTTTTATTCCAAATTATGGTGAGATAATTCGTCAACCCAATGCCGTCTTTGGGAGTACATAAATTGTTAAGTCAAACTGAGTTGTGTGTATTAATTTTACTGTTGCTAGTTTTAGAGGCTGAATTTAGATTTTTATTCCTACAGATTTCGGATCAAATTCGAGGCTCAAGAGTAAGCGACACAGATCGTGCAAGAAGCATGGAGTATTCTCTTCTAATGACTACGTTTATTTCTGTCCTGGGAGGACTCTGTTTCATAATATGCTCATGGTATTTGGTCAAAGATCGTGACGCAGCAGAGGAGTATACTCGAGCAAACGAAGATGATAGTTCCTTGTTAGGATCAATCGCAGCTGATACTTACCTTGCAAATGGTGACGAAAACCAGGTGTTGAGAAATGACGAAGATTTTCATGATGAAAGAGATGCATTGATAGTTCCTGTGGATGTCCATGGTGCTCTGCCAGCTCATGAAAAACAAAACAGTCATCCAGTTATCTAAGTACCTGGTAACTTTGAAATTAGTGATATTAAATTTTTTTGACATATTTTCTACCATTTTTGTCTCATACGTTGTTCAAGCGAGCATAAATTCATGCCAGTGGAGTGGTAAATGTGTCTCCCTCAGTTTGAAAATGGTTGATGTCTATCATGAATTTTAACTGTTGCATGTGTCTTGTTCCTGTTTAAAACAATGAACATTGTCAATCAAAAGGATTTTGGGTTAGATGAGATCTATTTGTGGCAGAGAAAATGCAAATTAAAATTTGTAAAAATAAAAGTTTGAGAAGATGTTAGTTGTGAGTATCACACAAACCACTCTTTCAAGGTTACCTAAAGTTACATGTAAAGGCATTTTTTTTTTTTCAAGGAATAGCTTATTAAATTCATTAATTCTAAATAGGCTGAGATAGGGTATAAATGTAAGTGGTACATTTTGTTTCTACTACAGTAGACGTGAAGTTAGTGAGGATAGTTTTGTGACCATGTTTTGCTGCTAGTTTGCAAGAAGCTCAACCACAAAGGGATGGTTCCATCCACATCACCTGAGTATGGTGCAAAATACTACTTTGTGCTTTTGAAGTCCTGACATGTTGTGGAATCAACTGTCCTGCGCACCGCCCGTACTCCAAAATCTCATAAAGCTAAACCTTAGCAATTGATTCAGAAAAAGCATGACTTGTCTTTGTTTCAAAAATGTATTATTATATTATTTAGGAAACGTGAGCCCAAATTATCTGTAAATGTGGTGAAAATGCACAAGTTTGTCTTCTGTGTTTGCCTTCATGGTTGACTGACTACTGGGTGTGAAAAAGGCTGGGCCAGGTCCCTTTTATAACAGAACTTTTTGTGAAAATCCATTGTTGTCTGAGTAAAGTTGAAACATTGTTTACTCCCAACTAAACTTTGGCATTTAACAACACATTCAGTGCAAAACATGTGAAGTGGAATGGTGTTGTTTTTGTCACCATGGTTACTATGTGCACACTGTGGTACATTTCCTTGGGAAGCTTGTGACATGCCCTGACAACAACAGAGTTTCAAATGTTTCCAAATGCAAAATCTTGTCATGAAATGCCTCTCACATCACCAGGTAAAGTTTATGATAGTATAATAAAATCAATGTACAAGGCTATTAATCATTTTTAAAAAAAAAAAATCTTTGGTTATTGCATTCGTGGCAAGTGGTACTATTAACACTTAAACAGAAAAGCAAGTAAACAGAACTTTTATATGACCATGACAGATGTGATAGAAAATCAACTTTATTGAGCATTTGAACAGAAATCCCCATACTTTGTATAGACTCGGCTAATAATATTACTTCTACCATGAACAAAGAGAAAAATAATTATTCATAAAAATATACTGTGAATGTTTTATTTGAGCTCAAAGTGATGGAGCATTTTGTTTTCAGAAATATCAAAAAGAGTACAATTTCTATCTTGGAATGATTTGTGTGGCTGGTGATGTAATTCTAGTGATCTGAAGGAAATATTCCAAATGTTCCATGATTATATATAAACAATTATAGCTCCCATTTGGTGCAGAAATGTGCTTGAATATTTGTCTGCGGACATTATCTGTTCCAAGAAGCAAACAGTTTTCCGGGAGCATAGCTTGAGGAAAACTGTGAGCTTTGCGGAACAGATAATGTCCAAGGACAAATATCTGAGCACATTTTTGTGCCAAATGGAGACTAGGGTCAGTGTTTACTATCCTTCACATATTTTTTGCAACACGCACATATCACTCAGATATTTCCCAGTTTTAGCTGGGCGTATTCGGTCATGTGATGTGTTTAGATCATCCGCGTGCGAGCAAAAAATATTTGATGGGTTATAATAAATGTAATTTATTATTTTTATTAGCTTTCAACATCTTTCCTCAAAAATTTTTTATCACTCTGAGTTCAAGAAAAATCATCCACTGTCTTTAAAATAATATTTACAAAATCAATCAAGGCATCTCAATTTTGTAACATGACTGTACAGTGCACTGTAATTACTGGTAGTAGTTCAAAATGTGAAATCAAATATTTTCCAATGACCATCATTAAAAATTAAAATTATTTATCAATGGTGAAAAGTATGACTGGTGTGGTTTCAAGATGATTTATTTTTACTGTTTTGTAGACTTTCGTTTCCTTAGCAGCTTCAACCAAGGATGGTTGATAAAGGAGAGTCTGCATTTGGTTGTTTGGAAGCTGGCTAGGAATAATCTAGGATTAAAAGAAACTACCAGTAATCAAAGTTCTTTTTTTCTTCTGTATACAGGGCAAAAATGACACGAACAGAAAATCTTACTGAAAGTTGCAACTCATTTAGAAATTCATCCTAATGCAGGATTAGCATCATGGTTAAAAATATATTGACCAGATAGATCTTTTTTCAGTTGTTATTTAGTGTAGTGGGGTTGTTTTAAAATTAAGTGTTACCCACTGTAAGTACATTCCCAATGTGCAGTTCCAGACAACAACCTTACTCCCCCCAAAGAAGGGATTGGAATTTCCTGGGGGGTAGGGGGGGGGGGAAGTTGTAAGAGCAAAACAATTAAAGTAATGTATGAGGCTTAATTGAAATTTCCAGAGGTGTTGGGGGGTGGGTCTTAAAAAAGATCTATGGATATTTTCTGGAACTACACAATTAATGTTTAGCCGGAATGGCTGGGTAGATTGAATTTGTTTGTAGAACAGGGTACTCTTGGATACCCATTATGGATGTTTTTGTGTAAAGATCTGTAGTTTTCAAATCCCCTGTGCTTCCAGGAGAACTGAAAGTTGTAAGAAACACATATTTTCCAGTTGACTATGATGTGACCCACCATGCTAACCAATGGTTGATCAACAAAATGTTTCCCACAACAATATACATTGTAAATGTGTAAGGAAATGTTTCTGGTTCCTTGAGTAGAGCTCTGCCTTGTGAATGTCTTCATTCTGCAAGGCTAATCTCTAACACTTCCTTGTGATATTGACCAATTTATTTGCTTTTGCTTTTCTGTTCATTTAACCAAGATCCTCTTCATCATCCTCATCAACTTCTTCATCTGGAGCACACTGGAGAATCATCAAAATAAAAAGAAGTACGAAACTTAGGATGTATAAAGTATTGCTATTCAAATTTAGGTGCCATTTATGCAAAGGGTCTATTGTTTTCTGTAAAAGCATGACTGTGGGCAGATTGACTTATGGCAGTGCATGTATGATGCCTTTGACATGAGAGAGGGAACAGGAAAATTAGGCAAAATCAAAATGGACAGCATTACAACAGTGACAGTTTTAATGTTTTTTGGATCTGTTTCAAAGTCCTTTTATAAAACTTTAGTGACAATAGAGCCTTGAACTTTCGTCAAGAAAGATATTGCCTGTTTCAACTTTGTCACATCCCCACAAGGAGAACTTAGCTGTCTGTGAATGGAATTAGAATGTTTGAACTTGCAGACCTTTTAAACAAGTTAAAACCCAAGAAAATGCTCGTTATAAACTAAGGATTATCTAACAATGTTTCGTCAAAATTCTCCAAGGCATCATTGAAAGAAATACAAGAAAAATTGAGTGAAGAAATGGTGTTAATAAAAACTTCTCAATTTTGATATCATTGAAAATGTCCATAACAAGAAACGAACCAGGTATTCCACAAAGCAGACCTGCCCATCTTCATTTATGATCATGTACTGTAGTGAGAGGAATCCTCTACCATCCATCCTGATGGAAATTTTGCTGGACAGCTGCAGTGCCTTAGTAGATGGCTTCAGAAGGCTGATCCTATACCTAGGTGCAGAGAGATTAATTTTGTAATTAATTTTTTTTTCTTAATTGGAAGGATGTTTGGCCTTTGAAAACTTTTATTTTGCTCAGTGCAATGACCTTTGCCTAGGTATATTACAACTGTAACGCCCGATTCAATGGCTAAACTAGTCATGAAGTAGGACTGAAGTCTGTCTTTTAGTTGAAGCTCTCTCACTTCACCTTAGTAATCTTGCTCTAGTGCAAAATAATGTATACCAAGTGTCTCCTAAGTTTGTGTAGTTACATGTTACAAGGCGTACATGTATCGAATTTCTTTAACATACCTGTTTGTCTGAGTCTGTTGACACTCAAATGACTCCACCATGTCAGAATCTTTTGGAAAATCGGACTGCAACATTAGAATCAATTTGGATGCTTTAATACTTTCACAAGACCAAATATGCCAAATTGTGTGGACTGTCTTTCCCTACAGCTTAGTCCTAAGTGCTGTTGAGACTGGCATCCTATTTTCTCCTCTGTATACTGCTAGGGTTATCACTCCTAACTTGGTATTCTCTTTGGCACCACACATACATGGAAGCAGGCTTACCAATAGTAGCTGGCTGCTAGGAAAAATCCTTGGGGGGGAACACCCAAATGAAAAGGTCAGGGATGCTCATCGGAAAATTTAAATTAAACCCCTAAAGGAGACCAATTTGGGNATTTGGCCCAAAATATGTCTCAAAAGCTTTTTGTTTTCACCTTCAGTTGATTCTTCACCTATAAGAGTCCTTCAGGAACAAAACTGTTTGATAAATGCATTGACAAAAATGCCATTAAGATAAAAAACACCTAATTTTTGTATCCAACTAGTCAAGAATTATGTTGAGAAAACACCATTTATTTAGGTGGCTTGTAAGAACACACAGTTTTTCAAATGCTGGGGCAGATACAGGATTTTAGAAGAAGGGGGTTTTAGATACGGCTTGCCAAAGACGGTCCCCATGTAGGGGATTCCGGGGGCATCCTCACCTGGAAAATGTTTAAAATTGAAGTCCTCGGAAATGTGTTTTCTGGCATTCTGAGGCCAAGTCACCGGGTTATAACATCTCATTTTTTTTTAATTTAGGAGTTTGGTCACCCCTCAAGATCCGCCCCAGAAATGGAGTGGCAATTTGTCAAAGAGTACTTCATGTCTAGTATGATATGACATGGCATATCTTTACACTACCTTTGACTTCTTTTCAAACCTTAAGTTTATAAAATTAAAATTTATTACCAGAAGGACATTTAGGTTTATCCTGAAGGTAGCACTCTCCTCTTTGAAAATATATTCCTGGAAGATTCCACTCTGGACAAATGCATTGGCCTGCACACACTTGGCATCTTCAACTGTCACCTTGAGGCCATTGTTACTTACAAAACAGGTGGCTGACTGTTAAGAATAACAAATAATGGCAACATATTGGAAACATTGGCAACAATATAATGTCCACAACTTGACACATTTAGGAGAAAACTTACAAAAATGTCTAGGATCCTATTCAAAAGGCGCTCACTCACCTCCAATCCTACTGCACCTTGTTGGTAAAAAACCTGAACCAACATTATGGCCAGTAATACAGTTTATTTCCCATCTTGCCCACCTTATGGGAGTAAGAAAGGGTCTAGATTCACTCTGTCTCTGGTCCCTCTTTTTGAGCAAGATGCAGCCCATCTTTAATTACCCCCGAGTCCATTTTTGGTACCTCTGGATCCTTCACATGTAGTAATTCCCCTATATACCTGACGCTAAAGAAACTGGTAAGTGGTGCCAACACTGAAAAGCTTTCTTGTTCTGCTAGTCCTTCAGATATAATTTGGAACAAGAGTTAGTTAAAAGTATTGCCTGAGATGATCATCACACCAAAGCAAAGAATCTGATCCAACCATGGTGTTGTCTACCATAATCTTTTTTAACCAACACACAACTAATTTTTACTATTAGTTTTATGGTCTTGGTTTAAAACTGGCAAATATTGGCTGATTTATGATGGAAGTGACTGATGCAATATTTGTGACATGTAACAGTAAGCGCATTAAAACAGCAGGTCTAAAGCGGGGGTGATGAGAGCCAATCATACACAGCTTAGCTAACTGGAGTGCTCCTCAGGCCTCTCAGGCTCACCTCCCCCCCCCACCCCCAACTCCTCTGTTTTAAACCGCCTGTGCAAACTTAATTCAACATTTGCCTTGATCTCTTGCATAATTAATTTCATACCTTGACTGTGTTCTAAAGATCAAGCAGCTTGATTATTCTCCTGTATTCCTAAAAGAACCAATGATCAATGCGCAGTTAGCTTTGCAAACTTACCTCTTTGAAATGTACAGCTTTCAGGATGTTGAGAAGATTCCTCGCGTTGTCCAACTTGGCCACGAGAATGTAACGACTGTCATCGCCACTTTGTTGTGTGAGCCTAGACATTATCCAGAGTAAAACGTTTCCAAAATGAAATCTTTGAAAACCCCGCGAACGTCAGCCATTTTGTCCTGAAGTGTGCGTGGAAACTGGAACTAGTACCTTTGTAGCCACGCTTTGAGCAGAACAGCTTAGCAGCCTTTCCCGCCAAGAAGGCAAAATGGCGGATTTTTCTCGTCTCTGCTCGCAAAGTTTTATGCTTAAAAATGACCCCGCTATTTAACTGTAAGGGGCTTTGAAGGTGTTCTTGCCATTAATAGCGTTAATATTTAATCAAATGGTACCTGAATATCACTGCAGATAAATTGACTATGGTATGTTTATTGTTGTTTAATATTGTTTATTAAGTTGTACTAGAGCGTTCACGGTCAGTTCCTAAGCATTTCCAGTATGAGGCTCTAACAGTTTGCTGCTGATGTTTTCTAAGATTCGTCTGTGTGCTTTGAATGATGATTCAAGTGAGGAAAGTGACCATGAACCCACTCAGGAGAGTGTCAAACAAGCCAAGGTAGGAACTTAATATGATGTTATGATATATGACAGCTAGCTGTGCATGTGCGAACAGAGAATTGATTTTCTTTGTGGAAAGTTTTACGTATTTCGTTTAGCTAAGAATATTTGAAAAATTAAAAAATTCCTAAATTCTGAAAAGTGGTAAGTTACTGAGAGATATGTACGCATACGCTGCGTTTTGTATGGGCCGTAGTTCAATTTTTACCTCTGCTTTAAATATTTCAAACCAGTTTTATTACCTTTTAGAGGGGTTCTAAAAAAAAGCATGCGCATCACCCACCCCTGCAGTCCCTAACTCTACCTTACCCCCTGCCAGGATCCATATCACCCCCCCCCCCCCCCCCCCC